TCTTAAATACACAGCAGAATTATTTTTTAAGATAGAATACTGAAGTTAGTAACTGCAAAGCTAACTTCCTTTCTCAGACAAGCATCTCCTCCTATCAAAACAGTCTTCCATTTTACTTAGTTTTACTAGAATCACAGGAGGGAGAGCATGACATTAAGTTGCAAAAGAAAGGATGTCTTAAAGTCCCTATACTGCCTGGAAAGGACAGAAAGGATTGGTCAAAAGGGCAGAGCTGCCAAGTCACTGACCTCTTCTGTAAGAGCCATAGCAGCAAAAAAAATTTTAAAGGTCAGCGCTCATCTACACACAGTCCCAAGGAAGACAGGCAAAAAGAAGAGCTAACTTAAAACACTATGTGAGAATAACAAAACTCAAAACATATCTGCTATGGCCATGAAGTAATAGCCTCTCCCACTTTCTGCATAAAAACTGGTGGTTTTTTCCTACATGGGTACTGGGTCTTCAAAGGCTACTTCCTCAAAGAGATGTCCTCCATTAGAAACAGCACCACTGAGTCAACTGTGTGGGTGGGAGGGTAGAATTCAGCCCTACTAGGAAAAGGTGTTTTGGTTCACAACCTAGCCATGAAGATTAATAAACCCCTAAACAGCAGTTTTCAGGCACTAAATGAATGAAAAAGGAAAAACTCCTTTGTTGGTATCCAATGATTCTACCAAAGAATCCTTGGGTTTCTGCCCATATATAAGGTGAATTTAATTTTTAAAACCACCACCACAGAATCTGTCACAAACTCCAAACAAATGTAATTTTCCCCTTTTCCATTCACCAGTGATGAGAAAAAAAAAACCACAATTGCTTCACAGAAAAAAGTCCCATCCCATCACAAAACAGTTTTAATACTGAATAGATGAACACCAATTCTGTAAACTTGGGGAAAATTTCTCAGAGTTGAACACCTTCCTCTGGCTACTGAAATTAAAAAGAACAGATAGAGTAGAAACAAAGCAGCACTGTTAATGAGTGTAAAGGTTTCTGCTCTCAAGAGGAGAACAGAATTTGGCTCTCAAATTACCAACACTTTCTGGTTACCTCCTTCAAAAGAATCATTCTTATCAACTTATCTGGACAGAGAAACAATAGCCACATTCTTATGAGAAGCAATCACAGAGTTTACAAAGGCAGCTCTCACATGTCTTTTCGAGAAAAGCTTCTGGGGCTGATTTTGAGCCTTACAGTCAGTGACTAAAAGCTCAGAAAGCAACTGCAACACTTGCAGCAATATAGATTAGCTTCTTGGGAAGACAAAGCAACTTCTTGACCTCTGCCTCTTGATTCACCAACATCAAGTTGCTTAACTGCAGCAGGTGGTTTGTTGATTACTCCTGCCATGTGAAGAACTGAAAAATCTGGGAGACAAGAAGGGCAGTCTTACTGATGCCTCAATATGCCTACTGATACCACTCCTGAAGTAAGAGAGGCTGAGATCTAGAGGGAAGCCTGCAAAATCAACAGCAGAAAACATCCTGCATTTTTAAAAATTAAGAGATGCAAAATTCAAGTTTTTCTTGTGCTATGCAAGTTACAGCAGTGATTAATTCAAGTACATAATCATATTAGCCTGAGGAGAGATGAAAATGCAATATTGCCCAACTTTCTACATTTAAAAAAAAAAAAAAAAAATGATACCAGAATGAATACTAGTCAGGGATCCAAAAACCAAAAATAAGCCTTGTCACACCACAGAAAAAAAAATGATTGACAAACAAACAACAATATAATCAATAATTGTCACAGGCTGGCTCCAACACTTAGGCCTACAGCAATAATGCAAAGGTTTGTACTTTAACTTTCCAAAGAGAAAAGGACACAGTGTATTTACCTCTGTTTTGCTTTACTCATCATGAATCTCCAATAAAAATATACTGAACACGAACATTTTATACAAAAAGTTTACCTAAACTGTCACTCATTCATTTCTCACCATTTCAAATAAAGATTTAAATCTAAGTCTGACCTTGATGAGTTGATCATTAGACTGACAAGCCTGCATTATTCACTCTTTACTTCAGATGAACTTTTGCTACAGATGGGTAGAGGCATGCTTTCAGCACAGCTCATTCAAACTAGTGTTAATTATTGATTAGAATAAACTCAGCATGTTCCTGTTTTCTCCCATAAAAAGAGAATATGCATATTAGTACAACTGACTTTTGAACAGGCCAGACTTCTGTTTCAGAGAATATTTCTACATGACAGCATCTAGTTTAAGTTCTCTAAATTCTCTGGAATATTTTCCCCATTTCCTCACACAAGTCACTAGTACTTTCAACGTTCCCCGAACTGGCTGTGTTTTTACAGAAAAGTTTCCTCTCTGATTAAGCAATGCCGAGGCATGAAAATCCCAAATGAACATCTGCTATTGCTGCATCCCAGTCCAATTGTTTTTCTGTGATGTGCATTGCTTCAAAGAGTTCTCTCTGTCATACATTCAACAGGACTATTAAGCAGCAACAAATTACTGGTATAGTATAGCTCCAGACAGGCACTCATAAATTGCTCCATGTTTCAGGTATTAAAAGTGTACTGTAACAGGAATGTAGTCTTGTCAGTTGTACTTTCTTTTTTCCACAGCCGTGTGCTGCTCGGATTTAAATTAAAAGCAATATATGACATTTACTTAGAATAAAAACATTAACTATAAAACATTAAAATCCATGACTGGCTTAGGAGGAGGAAGAGATGGGGAAAGCCCTTAAAAAAAGAAAAAAGTACACATTCTTTAAAAAGATCCCTTGCAGGCAGAAACAAAAACAGAGAAAGAAGTAGCCACAGCATGTGCAGTCCATGAAAAGCAATCTTAATCTTTAGTCAACCACACTGCACAGAAGATGTTAGCTAAACATCAGCGGGGAAGGGGCGGTGGGGGGGAAGAAAAAAAATAGTTTGAAGAAAATAAAACCCCAAAATCTTGAATTAATGACACTCTACCTCAGTGATTGGTTGCCCTTGTGAAGTCAAGTCCAGTTCCTGAGGTCTCATCACTTTATCGATATCCAAGGAGTCCATGCTGGAAGCTGCAGATGTTATGCTGGAACGGGAGGAGTTACTGATTGAGCGAACCTCCACATCACTCACTGTGCCAGCAGATGCTGTCCTCCTGTGCTGAGCAGTAACTACTGGTTTGGTGTCTTCTGCAACAGACTGTTGGGCTGCCTCATCCATGCTCAAAGAGGCCTTCTCTAACTGTGCAGTGATGTCATCCAAAGATACGTTGGCATGTGATGATTTAGTCACCTTACCAGATGAGGAGGATAATCCTTTCATGCTGCTGTGCTTAGTAGAAGGTCGGCTAGCAGGTGGTTTCTGAGGTTTGGATTCTGTGGCAAGGCGTTTCACTGCAGCATTGTTTGCTGAATGAGACCCAATGCTGCTGAGCTCCTGCTCTATGGAACAGAGATCGGCCATGAGGGCATCTAGATCCACAGTCTCCCCCTGATTCAGGGCTTCTGCAACAAACAAGAGTTTTCAATATGTGCAGTTACTTCGTTTGTCTGTGCAACTCTTCACTTTGTGTTACCAAATTTAACAGTTAGGGTAAGGGAGCAAAGGAAGCTGTGTTTTCTTTTCCCATCTGTATTGTAAAATCTCTGCTCACTGCTAAGCACAGATTTATTTGCACTACTACTCTTGACCAGTCTAAGAGCAATTAAAAAACCCCCAACTAGTTAAATAGATTTGCTGACAGAAGAAGTCTACGAAAGTTCAAATTACATTTGAAAAGCTTAAACTGCTGTCCTGTGAACAGAATCTAAACATACACTTGTATAATATCACACCTCAACTTCTCAAAAAAGTGTAGCTGTTTTACTAATCATTTCTGCCAGAGCAATGCAAGATATGTTACACTGCTTTAAAAAAAACCCACAAAATACTATACACATACTCAAGTCTTTAAATTAAGGCTTTCTGTATTACAACCAGTGGAAGCTATTTTAAGACAAGGAAAAACATCATTTTTATTTAACACAAAAGTGTTCTTCAGCTATATTCCTGCATCCTGTCCCATGAAGCAAGATATTCTTTCTTCCTGTTTAACAGATACACGGCAATTCATTCATGAGACCAGATCCCAGAACATGTATTTCTGTACAAACACTAGACTACAATTCTCAGATACTAGGTGCTGTAAAAGATACTGCCTTAGGTTACTCAAAATTCTGGTCCATCAGAAAGTAATCCTTTCAGCAAATATGTTCTCACTTCAGCTAGAAGGGTATTTAAATGCTCTTGTATTTTATAATCTCATTTATAGCTGGAACAGGTTTTTTCCTATAATATTTGAGGGTGTAAATAATTCAACAAACCATTCAAATTGTACATGGAGAAGCGGTATGAAAAGTTGGCAAGATTGGTTTCCTGACGGAGAGGTGATCTCTTGACTGGTGCCACAGGCTTGTCTGTATCCAAACTCTGAAAAAGAGAAGAAAAAGGGCAGAATAAAGTTTGAAAAGGAACTGGACAAGCAAATCTTCAAGATGAATGAAAATTAATTTTCTCTAAGAGAAATTTTTCAAGAACTCCTGGCATATATTTTATATATATATATACATAAATCTCTTTTTCAGGCTTTAAACTGACAACATATATCACCATACCACAGAGATTTAGCTTCAGATATTCAATGGACAAAAGATGTTAAACATGTTCTGGTTTTTTTTAGAATCAGAAGGAGGGAAGGATATTCCAAATGCATTTTTAAGTGGTGTTACGTACTAGCTCATTTCAAAACACAGACAGCTGGCTTACCTGTAACAACTTCTCTGCAGCAAATTGCACAAGTATTTAAACACATTGAAACTGTGGCATCCTCTCTAAGAAATGCATCATTAGCTTATGAGCATATTCATGGCATAAGTACACAAAAGCATTCAATGAAGAATTCTGTTTTATTAAAAGGGAATTTAAATTGGCTAAATTCAGACGTTCTTCTCAATAAGCCTTTACTGTGAAAAATGTTAAATTGTGAAAGCAAACCCTTGCCAGTGTATGTAGGGTAAATTTTTTTAGAAAAACCAATACAGGTTAAAAAATTAAGAGAGACAAGGCATCTTTCTACCTAATACATTGAATTGTTATGTTATGAAGGCTAATATGGGCGTAATATTATTATAAATACCAGCATTTTTGTAAATAGCAAGCAGTAGGGCAGTATGATCCAGCCGGTGACCCAAGACATGCACAACAACGTCCAGAGCTGCTGCCCTTGGAGTGACAAGTGTTACACGAGGAATCCAGCTCTTGCTGTTGCTGAGGCTCGACAGGCCTGCTGAGGGTTTGAATTTAAGCAATGCTTGTACTGAAAGAGCTTTCCTGAAGATATGCTCATCTGAAAGAAAAGCATCTTCTAGATCTAACGGAACCAAATTTCTCACCTAAGCTTTATTTCCATTTTCTACATCTTCACTCAAGCCTTTGTTAAAAATCAAATGCACTGTGTTTTTCCCCCCCAAGTATTTATTTTTGCTGAGCTCCCTTCTCCCGTCAGTTTGGCTTGAACTTTTAAAAAAAAAAAAAAAAAAAAAAAAAAAAAAAAAATCAGTTTATTAGGAAGTCAATCATCACTTAACGAGAAGCCAGTAATGCAGCCTTGCCTTCCATCAGTTGGAAAAAACCTCAACTCTAGTAGCTGTGATGGAGCTTACATATTGTCCCACACAGAACACCAAAAAAAAACCCCCAAACTAAAACACATAACAACAACATGGAGAAAAAAAAAATAAAATAAAAAAATAAATCTATCTATAACCCTAGAGGCAGCAGTGAAACTGGAGACAGAAGAGGCAGGTTAAGGTAAGCTGCCACAAAAGATTTTCTGTAAAGCAAATATATTCTGGTTGAAAGCATCTAAAATGTGTTTTACTTAATTTAATAATAATTAAGTTATTTTACATCCTTGGAAACACATATGGTCTCACTATTATCAGAGCACATTCTTCGTAAGACCTCGCGATGCTGAACTAGCAGTTTGGAGAACCACTGAAAACTACAACAGCACCAAAAGCTTAATTCTGAATGATCATGAGAAGCAAGGTAAGATTTCCTTCATTTAACCTGCACCATAGAGCAGGATAACTGGAACAGGATAAATGTTAACACACTCCGCATTGGTGTCAAACACCGCTCACGTGCTACAAATTTTGTCACTGCATTTTATAATGTTTTTATTAGACCAACAGTTAAAGAAGGCAAAGTCAATTCAAATGATCTCATGGGCATCTTAACAATTACAAATCTTTTAAAAAGCACTTCCATCTGGAAAGGAATCTGGGTCTTACTTTCAATCCCCCAAAAATAAACATTTAGGAAATCTAAAAAGGAAGTTAAAGTTCAAGGAACCCAGAGACAAAAAACCTTTCCTCTTACTGCTCTTAAGAGTCCAGCTGATAAATAGCAACAAATGCTGAGACTACAGGAGAATGCACTTTGGAGCTCATTAGCTCAAATCACCCCCCTTTATTGGGACTTCTTGGGACAGCTGCATCAAGACACAATCACTTTCCAGACAAAAGAACTGAGACACAACTAACTGTATGAACTTGTTTATACAAAACCATATGAGGTCATTTAAAGTTTTGGGGGAAATGTCATTTCTCAGTAGTCACAAAAGACAGAAGGGCAAACTGACAGGCTATGTTGCAGACTGCACTGTACAGCAATATGAAAGTGAGAAACAAATAATGTAGGTCCTCCCCTTAACTATCTGTTAGTAGGTTTTAAGAATTTTGCATGGATCAGCACACAAATTGAGACATCACCATAAAATCTGTATGTCAACAGCGTAGCTGTAAGCCCTGAGCAAAGCATGCTTATGTTTCTAGGTTGCTCATAATTGAAAAAAAATGGGGCAGAGGACAAAAGGCCTAAGACCAATTATCCATTGTGGTCCTCTTTGAAGACCCTCACTCGAGGTAATTTACAGAGCTATGCCTTCAAAACAGCTCCCACTTACATTAAAAATCCTTCATAGAAAGTTAAAAAACCAACAAGAATGACAATATACAGATTTCACACTATCTTCCATTCATCTCATAAGGCAGGATTCTTTATTGCACTGCATGCACTAGTTCAGGAAAAAAACCCCCAAACATTTTCCCCTACAGTGTTACCTACATTTAGATATTGCAGGCAGAGATTTAACCAAAACATAACAGAGATGAGCCTGAATTTGAAATGTTGTCACATGATTAGCTCAATTTTCCTTCAGTCTTTGGTAAGATGAAGAAGACAAAAGCTGCCTCTTCTCTAGCTTACTGAAACTTGAAGTATCATACCTTTGCTTAAGTCTATGTGACAAAGAGGGAGAAGATCAAATACATTATTCAGGAGAGCCACTTCACATGGTGAAAAAACCATAGCAGAGAAATGGCCAGGAGTCTGGCATACCATGCAAAATGCAAGGTCTGCTTGTGAAGAAAAAGGAAAAACACTGGAAAGAAGGAAGTGCCAAAAGAAGACATCCTATCAGCTGCCTCTCTGATGCAGGACAAGTACTCTGGAATAACAGTGAGTCCTCTAGGGCGTATCAGGGCACCTTATCATGCCATCGGTGGCAACATTCACAATTTCTTGTTCCTTATTGCTGCTCAGGTGCAACAAATAAATGCTGTCATAGCTGGACAATGTCCAGCCATGTGTTTGGAGATATAGTCTACCTCTAGCCAGCTAAAGTCGCTGTTTCTCTATATACTTGAGGACAAAATACCCATTCCGTAGTTGTCAGAAGGAATCATACTCTTTGGGAAAGGTCGAACCAGCAGGTTGTGAAAAATTAGTTTAACAACTTTGAGATGGGGACAAGAAACCAATTTAGAAAATTTTAAAAAGACTACCAAGCTGGTCACATGCTACAGCCTACCTTGCTGCAAGTGGCAGTGCTAAGTAGTTGCATCCAACTGAAGAGAAACGTGTAATACTCACAAAGAATTATTCCGTGAGATAACTGAAACCTCTCTAACCTGTGTGAGTTTGTCCAGTTCCCCCAGCCAGGCCCCAAACATCTTGTCCAGATCCTGATCTTCCTTATCACTATCTTCTTCCGCACCATGGTCAAGTTCTTCATCTGATAATTGCTCCATCTGAAAAAAATAAAATTTTGATACTCAAATTGTATCAGTGTCTAAGAAAACTGGTCTCAGCAACTAAGTTTCTGAAAAAGTGTTCTGAAGTCAAAGCACATGTCTGTCCATAAGCTTTATAAAAATTGCATACATTCACAGTTTATTATCCTGCAAGTACAGAGTTAGTGAGCATTGGATAATTACAAAGCCATTCTTGCAGCTCACTTTTGTCAGAACCATGCAGAAAAAGATGAAGAACAGAGTCCACAACATTTAATACACCATCAGAAATTATTTCATGCTCGCCTTGTACATACATTCACTGTTAGCTATTTCAGGCAAAGTCTATTGACTTTACATTACAAAAATTCAACTCTTGTCCAAGGAATTCAGCTGACCACAGTTAAGCAACACCATTCAACCCACAGGAAGTGCAGTCTCACTGCACTGCAAATAGCTGACTCTACATGTCTGTAAACAGAAATGCTTAAACAGGCCACAGAGAATGCCAGGAATACATCCCATGAGAGGGTTTAAATCTTGGACACTGTCCAGATCATTTCAGTGATACTGCACAATTTTTATCCAAAAAAGAAACTCCTCCTTGGAAGCAGAGTCCCCGTTACAGCTATGAGACCCTCCTTCCTTCAACAAATTTGAGTGAGCAAGATACAAACTTAACGCTCTCCAAGGGTTACCTGTTACCACCTCAAAGGAAATTAATCTTCTATTAAACAAGCCTCCATTCTCTTCCCCAGACATGTCTTCCAAGCCCCTTATATGGAGCTAAGACACACATCTTCCTGGGTACATCCACACTGTTAAACCCAGGATCTGATTCAGAATGAAAATTTGCATATTTGGGGGGGAAACAACATACCCAACAACCTGGGAGTCATCACGCACCACAGAAGAATAAATCCTAGGGATGTGCTATAGAATGTCCAGAGAGACATTAGAACAGATTGCTACCAAGAGCTACACAAAAAAATTCATGGTGTACTGTACCGCTTGATTTGGTCATGTCATGGGCTACAGAGTAATTTGCTACATAGCTTTCAGAAAGCACCAGTTTACATTTCATAGATTTAAAAGCAAACTTTCTAAATGCCAGTGTTCAGGAAAAGACAAATCGTGGTCTGAAAGACACCACAGTATTGCAGTCTGATGCAATGTTAAGGAAGATGATAAAGGTTATCTCAGAGAAAAACTGTTCAATCAGTTTTTGCCTTTATATGACAATAGTTCACGCGAAACCCCTCCACGATTTAAAAATAGCCTTTCCTTCTATTTATATATTGCTTATATTTCACTTTACCTTGATAAAATAGTCAGGGAAAGGGAGACTTCAGATGTGATCTACAATTCCGAGGCCAGCAGAAGCCAACGCCTCCCACAGATGCAAGATACTGCCATTCAGTTGCTCTAGGCAAAGCCACTGCAGTCCCCTCCTTAGATTTTACTTTTGTGGGAGAGCACAATGCAGCTGCTTACCTTAAAAGGAGCAATAATATTAAAGCTAACCTGCTGTGGCATACTGCGCGAAGCAAGCACTGAACAGATTAAATTCACCATCTGAATACCATTTTTTCCAACACTTGTTTTGATTCCTGTAAAGTACTTCTAGCACTCTTGGGGAAGGGATGGAAGCTCTTCTTAAAATCTAAGAGTGATGCTAGAATCCAAAAAAATGCTAGTATGCTGATGTAATAGAGCTGCATCCTTCCACCAAGACCACAGCAGTTTTTACGTTCTGTAAGCCAGGCATGCCTGCCCCTGCAGGATTCCTCTCCATGATGTCACCTGAAAGCCCTCCCACATACAGAAATGAAGACAGTAGGGTAGCAGCAACTCATACTCTGGCTGAACTTCTACAAAACAAACAGAAGCTGGATTCCACCTTTCACACCCCTTCAAAGCTTTGCTTTACTACTCCTTAGGCTTTTACATGGACCAGAAATATTGTAAATTCAAGACAAACACATTGTACTTAAGGTGACATGGTCAAACTGCTTAACACTGTTCTCATTCAACAGCACAGCATTTCTCAATGTCTAGATACACATGAAGTAAAGAATTTTTATTTGAAGGCTGAGGGAAGCTATTAAAAGCGTGCCTTAGGAAATATGACTATGAACCAGCAAATCAAATAAATGGAAACTGTGACATAAAACAGACAGAGCTTGATATTTACAGATACTTCACACTGCTAGCTCTTTGAGCTGTTTTTGCCGCTTACTCTACAGTTAGATGGGACTTGTTTTGCGGTGCATTCATTCTATGGCACTGTTCATAACTCATCCTTTCATTAAGAGAGGAGCTTGTTCTTTTTACTAATATTTTTGAGGATCTAAGCTGTGGAAAGAAACCAGCATTCCCAATTTCCCTTAAACTGTTGCTTTCGCTATTTTAACTTGGCATCAGAGATGTTGCTTTAGTTCCAGTTCCTCTGAAGACAGAATTAGCAGCCCAAAAAAAAAAAAAAAAAAAAAGTTCTACAAGTAATGTACTGTTGTGTCAGCAAGTCTGGCACTAAACCCTGCAGTATTTGCCAGCTCCTTGTAGTCCCCACCCAAGCTTCCTAACGTCAGCTGCATTTCCTATAAGCCTGTCAACATTTGCTTGCAAAAGGCATACAGAGGATAGTGTCTCACTTCAGAAACAGCTAATATTAACTCGCTAGTCCTGTCAAAGAGATCTCTCTTAGCACAAGCTCCACTATCGCAAGGAGAAATCCCAAAGGACATTAATTAAAGGATTAATTCAATAAATTAAGGCAGAGACAAAATGCTCAGACAGTATCTGAACTGTTTGACACACAAACTTAAAACAGTAACAACCCCAAAAGAGTGCACGTTCCAATGAAAAAGCTTTAAATTTTTCTTTTGACAGCCATTTTCTTTCTCACTGTTGTTGATCACAGCAAACGTACCACACTTCAGCAAATCATGACCTAACTGGGAGTCATCACACCCTTCTAAGGATATGACATTTTTATTTATAATAAAAAAAAAATGTTCTAAGTTTTAAGTATTGGGGGGGGTTGTGTGTGTTTTATTGGCTTTTTTTTTTTTTTTTAAGGAGTCATTTAGAACTAAATTAGATATAAGGAAGAAATTCTTTACAATGAGGGTGGTGAAACACTGGAACAGGTTGCCCAG